TTCAGGAGGAGTAAATATTGTACATAGAAACATTATTATTATACTGGATTTATATAGCGCCAACAATTTGCACAGCGCTTTACAATAACATGTGTAATACAATAACGTGTATTATTTCTTAAAACGTGGGGTGCTTTGTGTATTTCTTCCAGATCTGTGCAGTGATCCAATGTGAACCTCTGTACAGGAGCTTCCTGTAAAAAAAGACCGGTCACTGCTGATCCCTCTCCTTGTGCAGGGTGACTGGTCTTGTCTCCGCCCCCTCCTGTAGTTTTCTGCAGGCAGTCTGTAGTGGGTGGGGCCTGCTGGGCCCCTCCTAAAGCTCTGCTTTCTGCACAGGCAATGTGCAGCCCAGTGATTATATCATTTCTACTTATACCAGGTAATAACCGAGTTTGCAAAAGCAAAAAACAAAAAAAAGTGGTTTCTCCTTTTTCTTTATGCTTATATTCGTTTTGGCTTTTTATAAATGAAATATTTTGTGCCTGGAGTTCAGCTTTAAATAAGCATCTGTTTAAAGGAGAACTATGGGGTGAGTAGATTGCACTCATCCCCATTGTTAGAGCCGACGTGTGGCATTGAAACTGTCACACGTCGTCTCTATTGATCGGGAAGTGAACGAAAACATACTGCTGCTCGCTCACTTCCTGATCATCTCCCTGCAGAGAGCAGTGACTGTCAGTCATTGCTCCTTGCAGGGATTCCCACCCTCTCCTCTCCGATCCTCCAGCGCTGACTGGAGGAATGGACGGGGGAGGGGGCGGGGATAGCTGGCTCTGCCTCTGGATAGGCAGACCCTGTTGTCAATCAGCCAACGGGGTGGAACTTGACAGTATTGTCAGGATCAGTCCCGGCTGCGACGCTCTCAGCATATAGCGGGCATTAGCCCGCTATATACTGAATTTTGGGTCACAGGAGGACATTAGCATATGTCCTCCCGTGACCATAAAGAGAACTATGTGAGCAAAAGGTTACCCCTTAGTTCTCTTTTAAGGCTTGTGATTTGTACAGCATCATCATTTTTGTCTAATTAGCAGGAAGGCAATGTGTAAAGCAGTAAAACTGAATCAGGAAAGACTAGAGTACATTGACTGTGCAATCTGGCATGAGTGCATGAATCACAAGTGCAGCTAACCAGAATCACAAAACCTATGGCAGGTAAAACAGTAGAAATATATTATCAGATTCACATAGGTCTGCCAGACTGTACAGCCAGGAAGACAATACTAGTACTTCCCGGTTTAGCTTAAAGTGACACTAAACTCAGGAGTTAAATCTTAAAAATGCATTCAAGTACCTGTGTGTAGTAAAGTAACCAACGTTCCAAGCTCACAGCTGGTGATGGACTACAATCTCATTACAAATTAGTAAATATTGACAAATGAAAAGGATAGTGCCACTCCAAATGCAAATATTCAAATAACCTCAAAAGGGTGTGAAACACCCGGTACCGGGTGTTCGCATTGGACGGGTCTTTTCTGCCCGCAGATGCTGCAGTGCCGTCCGTCCGTTTAATGCAAGGTTAATGCAAACGCGGTTAATTGTAGATCATAGATCTATGGTTAACCGCATATTTGTATTGTAACTGTATTGTGTAAAGTGCTGTACAAACTGTTGGCTCTATATAAATCCTGTATTATAATAATAATGATGTTTGAAGCGCGTTAGTGGAGCCCGCTCAATGTTTTCTGGGAATACCTGTTATTAATAAAATAAGAAGCCGCATATTTACATTTCAAGTGCTGCTATCCTTTTGAAAAGCAAAGCAGTTTCACTTACCTGATCTCCTCTACCACTGGCTCCAAGACTGAAGTCTGCAGCCTCTTCCCCCATCCGCTCCGGCGGTCAGAGGCCCGCTGATGTCATCATGTCTATTGCATGGCCCATAGCCCTGCATTATTCATGAGAACACCAAAGGAACAGTGCCCAAGCCAAAGAGCTGGAGGGAAGAGGAGTGCTGACCACAAAGGGAGTGGGGATCAGGTAAGCTATACTGCTTTACACAATCCCCTTGACATCAACAAGCAGTTAACCCTTGCAGTTCTGAGGTAGCCCCTCTACAAGTCAACATTTTTTTTTCCCCCAGAGATAACCTTTAGCTGCATATTGGATCACCTCCTTGCTAATTGGGTTGCAGCAAGACAAGTAGCATTTTCAGAAGGAAATGCTAGCAATGCCAGCATCCATATTGATCTTCTACCTGGTTCCCCTTAGGACATCTGTGGATTGTTGTTCATTCATAATCCAACAACAAGACTCAGAATGTGAGGTGATATAGGAATCTGCGGAACTGCAGACTGTGAACAGTGGTGTCACCCTCCGGGTATATAATGCAGCGGGGACACAGGAATCAGACTTACAAGTTTTGTAGTCAGTTCAATTCACGTGAATGTATTTCTCCTTTGCATTTAGTCTTTTGGCTGATTTCTTAAATCTTAAAAGCCCCTTTAAGGTGGACAGCTTCCAGACATAAATAGGATCATACTATGGTTGTTGGATTACTACGGATTACAAGCCAAAACTTTCCTAAATCAAACATGGTGGCTGCATGTAAACAATAAACAGTAAGAACAAAGTTTGATCCTGAGGACAGATACCTGACAATGGGACAGAAACCAGTCATCCCAGACTGTCCCAGTTACCAACCACATCAACCCTCTATACATCATAGCTACAACTTCAGACGTGGTGCCCCTAGCCCTCACATCCCTAGGATTCCTCTTTGTTCCTTCTCTTATCTCTTGTTCATCACTCACACTTGGGGTTTTCATTGGAGTCTACAGAGTACAAAGTCCTGGGGATATTTGTTACTATTAAGTCAGTATTGGATAAAAGGAACTCCTAATCCTCAGTGGAGCATTACAATGCAAGTATCCCGACTTGGGTCTAGACACATTGGCAGTACTTGCAGAGATCCTGCCCACTTCCAGTAATCTTTTGGTGTGAGTTACCAACATCCAGTTCTCAGAAGACATCACATGCTGGTTTACTATGTCACATCGAGAGCCCAACAAGTATTTACACCAGATTTCCAGACATTTCACTTTACCTTCTAAACTCTGAGAACAAAAAATTATCTTTTTGGGGGCCAAATTACAAAAAGTAGAGGAAAAAAAAGTCAGATTTTACTTGTGGTTGTTAAAGGGAAGTTTAGAAATAGAAACCTGGCCATACACTAGTAGATCTCTTTTGGTCAGCCTTCCCCTATTCAATTTCCTCAATGCACGCTAAACAGCATGGATGAAGCAATCCTCCCTCCCCGACCTTCGTGCTGGGCTGTTGTATTCTGACAGACAGTGCACGCTCCTGTCAGAATACCTGAACAGATTGACCGACAATTTTCGGCTCGGCTCCTTCAACAAAAGTTGACTGTTGCCGAGCTGTCAAGGCCACCAACTGTTAGAATTTTGGCCAATTCATGTGAATTGGCCACAATTCTTTTAGATTGTAATCCCTCATGGGCAGCGCCCTCCTTACCATCTTGTCTTGAATTGTAATGTCTTCCTTATATTGTACAGCGCGGCACAAACTGTTGGCGCTATATAAATCCTGTATAATAATAATAACTCTGACAGTGTACGGCCAGCTTAACACTCTATTGCTGCTGAGGGCAATAGCTTATCTTTATCTTTGATTCAGTCCAACACGGCATGATGCTAGTATTGGATTATCAGCTAAAGTATCCCTCAAAACTATGTATAAATCACTATTTTGTGGCTTCATAATACTCCACAAGGCGATACAAGATTTGGAAGGTAGCACAGGAAATTAATTCCTTCCATCTATGAAATGTCTGTGAAGGTTCTCATTCATCCAGGTCATGGTTTATCTGTAAAAAATAAGTCAAGGCAACTGGACTTGCTGTATTTTTCTTGAAGACGTTTCACTGGTCATCCAACCAGCTTAATTGCGAAAGCTAGTTGGATGACCAGTGAAACGTCTTCAAGATAAATACAGCAAGTCCAGTTGCCTTGACTTATTTTTTACCGATATTCCATCTATGAAATAATTATTCTAAATCACTGTCATGCATGGGCTTATTGAGCATGTAACAAATGATCAAGTGTTTTCATGACATTCGGCAAACTGATCTTATTTTTTCCTTTAATAAAAATCCTGACCACAGTCTTGTACAGCAATCTCAAATGTGCATGGTAGTACAATACTGGGCAATCTCAGAGATGAATTTCATAACATTTCACCTTTGTTTTCATCCTTTTTGCCGCTGACCTCTTTTCACCCAATTCCTGTCTATATGCATGCACTCCAGCCTCAGCTACACCTCATTGCTCTGGACCAGTGTTCTGATTGTCACAATGGTGACCTATACCTATGTAACGTGTGTCTTCACAGCCACGTGTACTCCCTATAAGCCTGCGAGTGACAACGCTGGAGTACATTTAAATGCAGAAGTACATTTGGGGGACTGTTGTCACCCCATGCAGGCAGTAGCTAAACAAAGACCTTTATCTCAGGATCACAAAGTTGTTCTTTAATTAATTGCAGCAGATATAAAGATTTAAAACTCGCTTTTGAAAATGCAACACGTTAAAGCTTATATGATATCTTAGTGATTATGTTTAGATTTAACCGTATGTTGTTCTATTGACAACTACGCACTAACCCATTAAACTACATGTGAAATAATACAATTTGAATATACTGTTATGAAAATTTCCAGTTCTAGCGGTACATAAGAGCTATGTTCTCATCTTAAAGTGAGTGCAAAGCTGTACATTGGACAAAAGCAGTGTGCTGTGTATTAAATAACCCTCCTGTCTGGGAGAAAAAGAGTTAATACAACATAATACAGGCACCCCTGCTGAAAGACACAGGATTGCATAATCCTCCGACAGCATTCCTTTGCTCGGCACTGGGAAGAGAATGGTTAATACAATTTTTTCCAGAACCTCTAGATGGTCCTCATAACACAGCAGAAGATGGAACATCATGGCACAAACTTTATACACGGTTAGTATTAACCTGGAAAGGCCACTTACTTGAGGAAATACCTCTGGCCCGTGTGGGTGAATGCCACCTCCCAGCCAGGTGGCAGGAGCAGTTCATCTGTCACATCATAGGACTGCTGGCGCAGGTGAGCGTGCTGCTGAGTTGGACTCGGAATGCTCCCGGAACCAGCACCAAGCTGCAAGGAAGCTGGAGAAGAATGGGATCGAACATGCTGAATTCCCAGCCTGGGGGGATGGCTGCCGGAGTCAGTGCTAGACTGCCTGGAGTGAGACCCGGAATCCGGCTCTTTGAAAAACGACTCAGGCAAGATTTTCTTCCTCCAAGAGTTGGGCTTGGGGTTCATGACGGAATTAAAAAGGTTCTCCAAGTCCGAGTCCAGATCCTGGGTGACATGGATAACTTGCTGCCCCGGTGGAGGGAGACCTGGATTCTGGTTCATCCTGGTAGAACCAACAACAATCAGAGCAGTAGATTCCTGGAACTTCCACAACTCTGACACCCAGGAGAGGAAGGCGGTGGCCTAGAATTCCTAATGCAAGAAGCTGGGAAGTCACAGATCCCGGAGAAGTGCAGAAACTTTCAGCTGCAACACTTAGAATGTCGGGAGACTGAAAGTTCCAATAAAGTACAGAAGCATTGTGACATCACAGAAGCAAAAGGTCTTCTCAATGACCTGAACCAGCCTCCGGGAAAGAGTCACTCAACTAAAAAGGTCCAATGCAGGCTCTAAGTGTTGACTTGATGATCTGGTTGTCCCTAGCAAAGTAAGAAAATGTCAACTCACAGGACAGGGAGAGGCGTCTCTGGGCAGAAACTTTTCCTTCCCTCATCTGAATAATGTATGAGCTGCAATCAGTGCCCAGCCCTGCTCAACCTCCTCCCCCAGACCGGGACTTTACCTTACAGGGCAAGAGCCTGAGGCTTTCACTCCCACATCCAGTTCTGGTTACAAGTGTGGGTGAAACATGCAAGAGTCTGCCTGCAGATCACTTTCTGAACGAGTTTACCCAGACAGGCAAAGCAAAACATGGCCAGTTTTCCAGCATTACAGGAGAGTACAGAGAGCCCCACTCGGAATGCCAAGTCTACGTTATGAAGCATTTGTCACCTCTAGTATAGACACAACATTTATTACTCTGTATGAGAATATTTACTTTATATCTCTTATGAAGGAAAATGCTGGAACGCAGCTGTGCAACTTTGGCATGCGTCAGTGAAAATGTACTTATCTTTGCAACTACTTAAAGTGGCACTAAACTCAGGAGTTAAATCTTAAAATTACATTCAAATACCTTAACTGCTAACAAAATCTTATTTGTGTATCACTCGGCTGTAGATCCTCAAATCATCTCTGAATTGGTGCTGACACTGTCCTTCCTTCTGGAGGGTGGCTACTTTTGTTTTGGCTACTTTTGTTCCTCATGGCCCCTGTGTGTGTTGTAAAGTAGCCACTGCTCCAAGGTCACTCCTGTGATATACTACGATCTCAATACAAATTATCCTTCCTTCTGGAGGGCAACTACTTTTGTTCCCCATGATCTCTGTGTGTTGTAAAATAGCCACCGCTCCAACCTCACTCCTGTGATGGACTACAATCTCAATACAAATTAGTAAATTAAACGAGAGATTGTAGTGCATCACAGGAGTGAGGGTGGAGCGGTGGCTACTTTGCAACACATAGGGACCATGGGGAACAAAAGTAGCCACCCTCCAGAAGGAAGGACAGTGTCAGCACCAATTCAGAGATGATTTGAGGATCTACAGCTGAGTGATACACAAATAAGATACATCTTTTTAATAATTAAGATACTTGAGTGCATTCAGTGGCATCACAAGGGGGATTGGTGCACCGCACCCGGGTGACACCTTTGGAGGTGTGACACCAAAATGACTGACAGTCATTTTGGTGTCGACCCTTCTGAAAAGTCGGGCACTCATTAATGGAGCACGACAGTTGCAGGAGAGAGGAGGGGACCCCGTGGCATACCTCATCCCACTGGGTAAATGTCCCCTCCTCTCTCTGCCGGCTTCCATCACCAAGATGGCTGCAGGCAGGTATCAATAAGATGGCCGCGATGATGATGTCACGGTGGAGTGTCACCCAGTATTCACTCCGGGTGACACCCGGCCTCGGGACGCCCCTGAGTGCATTTCTAAGATTTACCGCCTGAGTTTAGTGTCACTTTAAGCTATACAGGTAGATTAACTGAGGTCATCACGTTTAGAAACAGTGTGGAGAGAGACTCAGAACAGACTGACTTTGTTTTTTTCATATGCGATTGCCTTTTTGGCAATGTGGGTTTTATTCTTTTAATAAAGCACGGTTTTTAACATATGATGCGATGAGGCTCGATTTATTTCCTTTGACTATATTGGAGAGATTGATTGAGATACTTTAATTCTTGGCTGGAAGTCATACCCTGGATTGAGTTCTGGTTTTACCTACTAAAGTGAAGGGAGAGGAAATCAGGACGTTTTTATTGCACTAAAACGCTATATGACCGTCCTATAAAGGGGTCATTGAATCTGGTGAGTGCGGATCCTGCTTTATCCATTTCACTGATGGTGGAAAGAAGCACTAGAGGTGGCACAGAAGATGTATATGTTTTCTGCATTATAAACCACAATTTTAGATCTGAGTGGTTAACATTGGGTCTTTTTGTTTGCACATGTCACTATTTTATGAGAAACAATTGCACAAGTCACTATTAACACTATACAGTGGATGGTTTGTATCTAAATTGTATGTATATTTATATTTGAGAACTTTAATTGGTGAACCTATCACATTGCATTGTGTTAGGCACTTTATTTATTGATGTCGAGTTTTTTTTATAGATTATATTAACCTGTTAAGCTCAGTGCACAATTTATTTAAGATTAACAAATGAACTTTCATATGAATAATCTCATCAGATCTTTCGATAATGTCATCAGAGACTCGTAGAACGTCATTAAAAATGTAATTTGATTTGAGCATACAATTGTGAAGTGAACCACATACAATCAATTTCTTTCCTTTGAGAAAAAAAAAACAATGATGCTGACATTAACACTAGAGCAAAATTGCCATGGGATGCACAGGGGTGGTAAAAAAAAAAGGCGGTTGATTTGCGTTTTTACTGTCCTGACCATCGACCTACAAATTATCATGGCGACCGCTCAGGTCTATACACATTGCTGCGGCCGCAATGCATCATGATGCAGCAGATTTAACTTGGCATGTCATGTTTGACAGAGGGCGTCGCTTGCCAAACTCACCCATTGAAGCTAGGTTCACACCAAGGTGACTCCTGACCACGCACGATTCCTGCACGGTCAGGAGCCGCCAAGGTGTAAACCGATTGCGCTGTGGGTGCCATAATTATCTAATGGCATCCCAGTCGTGCCAGGCGGATCGCGTGGTTTCAAAAAAAGATACTTGTATTGAAATCAATGGGGTCAATTGCTCACGATCACGCGGCCCCGGGATGCGCGTCCCAGGTTGTCGTGCAGTGTAGTGCAGGTGTGAACCTAGCCTGAAGTCAATGGGACTCCACTGCAACCTATGGCTTCAAGGAAGACAATGCTAGACTCCATGGACCGGCTTTGAAGTCTCTCCATAATATTGCTGACCACATTCATATTTAACCTCTATGTGCAAACAAGACAGTCACATGTTATTAAAAAAAATATGCATAAAGTAAGGAAATGATAATTCTTCATATAAACTTAAAAGGCCCCATTCACACTTTTTGCGGCACATTTGTCCCTACATGTGACAAACGCTGCAAAAAACCTAATGCAGCAGTTTTAGCTGTGAGCTTCCCGTACTTCTAGACCACATGTTTTTGCACGCACCAAGATGTGAATCTTGTTGCTGGATTTGGGGGGGCCATTAAATAATGGCACTGCAGGCACAACATGCTCAATGTATAAAATGAAATGTTATGGAGGCTTACACAATGGCAGGCTGCACTATAGAAGATAGGAGTCTGTGCCCACTGAAGTAGCTGTAGACACAAACAAGGGGAGGTTGGAAACATTGAAATTTGTACAAAGATATGTGCACAGCGTTTCTAGATACATTGTACCAGTGTGATGATGAAGACAAGGATGTGTCGGGTTGCCATACCTAATGAAATGTATAGTGTTCTGGGAAGCAATGGTGTGTGTGTGTGTGTTTGGGGGGGTGGGGAGGGGGAGGCCATAACAGCTAAAACATCTGTATGTATGGAGAGAATAGAGTCTCTGGAGACTGCAGATATATACAGCTGGATATATTTCAGTAGGCAGCTGTATAGAGGGGGGAGCAGATAAGAGGGAAGAGCAGTGTAAAGGGGACAGATGTGTAGAGGGGCAGCAGATTAGTAGGGACAGCAGTGCAGACGGTGCAGCAGCGTAGAGGGGACAGCGGTGCAGAGGGGACAGCAGTGCAGAGGGGACAGCAGTGCAGAGGGGACAGCGGTGCAGAGGGGACAGCGGTGCAGAGGGGACAGCAGTGCAGAGGGGACAACAGAGGGGGCAGCACATTAGAGGGGACAGCTGTGTAGAAGAGACAGCTGTGTAGAGGTTACAGCAGTGTAGAGGGGAGAGCAATATAGAGGGAAGAGCAGGGTAGAGGGGACGGCAGTGGAGAGGGGACGGCAGTGTAGAGGTTACAGCTGTGTAGAGGGGGCGGCAATGTAGAGGGGGGCGGCAGTGTAGAGGGGGACAGCAGTGTAGAGGGGGGCAGCAGTGTAGTCTAGCAGTGTAGATTGGACAGCAGTGTAGAGGGGACAAGAGTGTAGAAGGGACAGCACTGCAGAGGGGACAGCAGTGTAGAGGAGACAGCAGTGTAGAGGGGACAGTTGTATAGAGGGGACAGCAGTGCAGAGTAACAGGATCCTCCTCGTTCATTCTATTCAGGGGCGGTATGAAGCCATCATAGGCTATGCATGCTGCTGGATCGTTACTACCAAGGCGATGTTTTCATATATTCATGAATATACACCAATGATCTCCATGATATAAGAGCTCTGCCCTGGTTTTACCCTGTGCTGGGAATCCCATCTCCAGACTGCTGTGATTACTCTAACCAGTTCTGAGATGGGAGCTACTTAAACACTATATGACCTCTCTTTGCATGGAGTTTGCATGGAGTTCCTATAAATTCCTAAGAGGCACACAGTGCTCTTTGTCACAGAAGGAATTATTCTTTTTCTCTGAACTTTCAGTTAAGGATGGACACACACACACCTATATTGTTTTCTATATTGCTCTATATGTGAGTGACAAAAGCTTGGACACAGAGTCCTTTTTCCTGTAGATTTTCAGTTAAGGGTGGAAGTTTGTACATAATGGGGAAGGAACAAACTCTCTTATGATCCTGGCATAATCCTGAAGATAAAGGAGCTTCTTATGAACGTTGCCTCTATTGGCATTTACGTTAAAGTGCACATTTACATGTATGGAGCAGAGCTAAGTTTCTGTTTTTTTGTATTGCTTTCTATGTTGGTGTATATACTATTTAGGCTGTACTCTGGATGAATTTATATAAGGAGGAGCACATGGGATATACTGTATACATACATATACATACACATACACACATATATACTGTATATATATACATAGATATATATATACACATATATATATCTATGTATATGCTATATATATATATATATATATTCATCCTTTAATTGCCTCAACACTGCCAATAGGACAGGATATCACCAATGACCTGGACACAGTACTGGAGGCTGGGGAACGATAATAATATGAGAAACATTATGAAAATATCATTTGAAGTGAATGTCAGGGCAAAATAACAATAGACACATTTTTTCCCGTTTAACTTACTAAAACACACTGCAAGAACAGTAAACTAACTGTTAGTGTGCCAGAAATATGGTGTGCTCCCACCTGCCAGTTTCAGCTGACAATATAGTGTATTTTGTGTTCTGAATAACTAAGCACGTGGTGTCAGCCCTCCCTACTTTATTTCTGATGGATTACAAAGAACAAGGACC